ACAAATATAAACAGCAAAAATCAAATAAATGTAATATCTGGATAACTAAAAATGATTAAATTACTGTTAAATATTTTCCGAAAAAATCATCATAGCATAAACGTTTAACCAGGCAAATAAATAAAAAATGCCAAGCTTCGGAGTAATTATCGAAATGTTGTATAAACGAATTATTTATAAAATAAGTAAAACCTATAGGGAGCTTAAAGTATTAGGAAACAAACTTAATTTAACTATTAATAAATCAAATAAAACAAATGAAACTTCTTTATAAGGCGAACTTTATTTCTTGGAGAATTTATATACAGATATATAAATACATTTTTAGCCTGCTCTTGGACTTAAGATATTTTAAATGCAAATTTAAAAGCTTAACTTAAATTGTGTTGCCCCTCATAGCTTGCATTCTTTGCAATTTATTAGCTGTTTTAGTGATCCCAAAGTTCATACGGACAGTCGAGCAGACGGACGTTGTCCACCTCAGCTGTTGATTCTGGTGTAGAATATAATTCCCTGTGATCGGCTCTCCACGTAGTGAAGAATATCACCGAGAGTGTGCTATATAAAGCGCAGATCTGCTATGATTGTCCGATCAGTAAATGATTATTTATTTATGTATTGGTCTGCCTTTTAAATTTTCTTACTAAGACTTTGTTACTTGTCAGTATATTTGTGGAATTTAAGACATAACATATGTACCCACTATAAATTCCCGAACATATACAACAAATTTCGATACATAGGCTTGTAAGCCAGGCCAAGTATTTATAAGAACACTGTTTTGGCTGCTTACAATTTACCACTTTTGAAATGTTTGCAACTAAAATGAATAAGATAAGTGTGTTTCTGTGTTCTAGATGCGGCTAGCCCACAAAGAGGGGCGCATGTGCGGCAGCGACGGCAGTGGCAGTGGCATCCTCAACATCATCTGGAGTTGGAGGAAGTCGACAGAGCGGCAGCAATAACGATTGCCCCGGGCAGAGATTGTTAGCCCCATTATCAGCGGGCACTCCGCTCCACTTGTGCCGTCTATCCAGACTCTTGCTGTCAGCATCTCCATTTGTCTGCATCTGGAATGGATTGCGCCTTAGTAGTCCGTCCCCATGGGGATCGACGTATTGAAGTGTAGCATTGTCGATACGAGTGCATTTCACTTCTACTTCAACGCGTCTTCTTGCAGGAAATTAAATCCATTGAACGCCGCAGATGGAGTTGGCTGTTGCCTGTTGCCTGTTGCTGTTTAACCAGCATTTAACGTAAGCGGATTTATGTGAGAGCCCCAACCGATTGCCAGTGGGTCTGGTGGTTTCCTCGTGTCTTGCTCTGTGGCTTGCATCTCATTAGCACGGGGTGCTCGGCTGCGATGACCCAGCTGCTCTGTCCGCCTCAGAACTTTGCCGTTTCCCGACCCCTGATGCTGCGTCAGCGCACTGGCTTTGTGGGCCCAGACCTAACGGGACGGCCAAAGATGATGATGGTAATTGATTCGTCACTCGGGGAACATTCGTACGTGGGTGCGGTACGGTGCGGTGCGGCGAAGCCCAAACTACCGACCAAACGAAATCAAACCAAATCAATAATGCATTTTAAATGAACAGCGATTCCACTTGACGCCTCTTTGCCTGGAAATCCAATTACCAATCGTCCATCCGAATGTTGCAGCCGCGGGGGTCGAGGGCAACGGCCGGGTCAACATGTTATTATTGACAAATGGAAATGTCAAAATGAAAAATTAACTGAAAATCAACAGCTACAACAGCAGCGCCCGTTGAGGAGTCGCACAATCAAATGGCGGCAAACAGCGAGCGACAATTGAAAATGTCAAAAATCACGAGCCCCAAACAAGTGTCGAGCGGTAACAGGCCATCCTGACAAACTAACACTAAAAAAATAGTAGTAGTAGTTTTTTTTTAGTTTTTTTTTGATTTTTTTACATTTTCTATTCATTTAAGAACAGAATAAAAATGCATTATGAAAAATCCCAAATCTGCTAATAAATTACAGATACTTTTCTAAATACTTGAGCAATGGTTTATAGCTACTATTATTATAAAATAGATAAAATTCAATAAAGTAAGAATAAAACAAATAATAGTTATATTAAATTACCAGAGATCAATTAACACCCGTTAATTAATTTCTTCATGTAAGTCCGTTTAAGATCATTTAGCTATGTAAAAAGTGCCTTAAATGTAATAGCCGATGTGATAAAAATGCACTATGAAAGATTTTAAATACTGTGCAGTCTACACTTTTTATTTTTATTTTTAAGCTGACAAGATTCTAGAGAACTGATGTAGTTATAATTTTGAAACGTTTATTTTGTTACTTTCGAAGATATTTACTTAATACAGATATTATAAGGAATATTTTTATAATCTATAATATTTAGAACGCAACTAATTTTTTTAAGTTTTTTTGAATGACTATTATTTTTGTATTATCTCAACTGGATTTTTGTCGATTCCAGAATTGTGGGCCGTTGGTTGCGTAGGTTTAACCAGTTGAGAATTATAGGGTCGCGCTACGAGCAGCTAAACAAGAAAATCAAGTGAGCCCCACAAATAATAAAAGAGTTACAACGTTTTTATTAGTGGACCGCGGGTGACTGGGAATGGGTGTAATAGAGCTGAACCCTCCTCCAGGACAGCATGTCACACGAGGCGCGGTAGCAACATAGTCAGCGGCAAAAGGCGCACCATCGGTGGCACAACAGCAACAACCACTCTGGTGGCGTCGCTGTCATCAATGGAAAACGATTGCCGACACTCGAACAACGCGATATTTGAATGCAAGTGCCGCCGGTTCGTTTTTCGCCACTCTTCGCGTTGGTGTTTTTGCAATGACCACTTGATAAATGATAAATTAATTGAGTATTGCCCAATGGCATAGTTTTTCCTAGAATGCCCTAAGTTAATGCTCACCGTTCGCTGGGTAACGACCGAAGAAACGAATAAAAACTGTTTTATAAATAAATAAAATAAAAAGTTATTTTGTTATGTATACCCCGATATATGGTTTTGTTTTTGGTTAATATTCGTATGGAAAATAATCAAACATGGTTGACATCACATAAAAATCGGTAATTGATTGGAATTAGGGCAACGATATAGACGATCTCTTAAAATCAGTGTCTAAGAAGAAATACACAATTGTCAGGTTACAGAGCATTTCGGTTTCGTTTTTTGTTTTTCAGGCACAGCAAAGTCAGTGGAAATCGCTTAAAAACTTAGAATTTCGAAACTGGCGGCATGTCAGGTCGTTGTGGGTCGCAAGGACGTTGGTTAGACGCCCAAGTTGTATACAATCTAAATTTGGCTGGGGGAATGCTGGCTGCGACAGAGCAACATGTTTCTGTTTCTATGATTTTCTGACTGTCACCGGTGTAATTAGTGAACTTGCAAATACGTTTAACACATTAGTTAAGCTCGTCAGTTTCCCACTATTTCAGTTGCAAGCATCTTTTAATTAGCTACAAATGGGTAGAGCGAGGAAATTGAAAGTATATGAAAGTGCTCGTGCCAAAGCCATGGATAATGAGAAATTTCTATGCGAAATGATGTAGAAATTTCACTGGCGACTGAGACCACAGCGATAAATCAAATGGTCAGATCCGGAGCTGGAGTGAAGTCAAAAAACGTTGATACACAAATATTTGCATAACACTTGATGTTTTCGGTAAATGCCAAAGCAACAGAAGCCGAAGCACAGCAGCATCGACGCTCCACTCTCCAAATTGTTAGATCCACACAACCAGCCACTCATACTCACACTTCATTTGACCAAATGTTGCACATCCAAACAGCAAGAGCATCACTAGAAGCAGCAACCTACTAAATGTTGCTTATTTTCACTGGCAAAATAAAATCAACAGAAATGGTAAATTGTTTAATTGAATTTACCGCAGATGCGCTTAAGTTGCTAGTAATTTAGCAAAGCCATCCATTCGTTTTCCCATCCACGCGTCTGCAGCTGTAGCACTCTGTGTCTGTATCTGGGCATGTATTTGTATCTGTATCTGTCTGTATCTTTATCTGTACCTATATCCGTAGGAGACGTGCCGGACTCTCCGACATATGGGCTTGATTGTCGTCGCAGTACAAATAGGGCAGCAACAACAACGGCAGCAGCCACCAGGATAAGCATGGCACAGTTGCGGTGCCATGAAAATGAAATGTGAGTGCCGCTCGTTGTGTGCATTTCTAAGAGCGACTGTGTGCGTTCTTCCTGTAACTATGCATTAAATTGAAAACGGCAAAGAAAGTGCTCCACAGACGGCAGTTGCCCGGTCGCTTGGATTGCAGTTGTTACTGGGTTCTAGATTTCTCCCAGGCCCAATTATGTGCTGTGCTGCTGCCGAGTGTGTTTCGATTCGCAATTGGCCAGCGATGTGGATGTGGATGTGGCTGTGGATGTGGCTGTGGCTGTGGCTATGGATGTGGATGCGGCCAGGCATTGCTCAATGACCGATAATGCTGTTGATATTTAAGATGCCTGCGAGGGACACGACCTCGTGGCTGGATGTCAAAGGTGGGCGCCGTTTGCATGGCAGGAGTTGCACAAGCCGCCTGGCCTTTGTAATCTTAATTAATTTGCGTGGGTCCCTGGATTCGGTGGCGTCATTAGTTAGCAGTGTTCGCCGAGGGCCCAGCGAATGCCGGCCAAGTTGACACCTGAACCCACTTCCACCTGGCCGCTTCTGGCTGGCATATCTCGGTCGGGCGGCTCGTCGCCTGCAACGCAGCACTCATCTGCCGCAGTTCGTGGCCCAGTGCTCTTGGCTAAGAGCGGGAAACTTGAGCGCATGCGCAGCCGGCGAAGGCAAAGGCAAACTCGCTCGCGATCTCTCTTTCGGGCTCTCTCCGCTCTGCCTCGTCATCTTGACCATTTGGGGCCGTGTGTGTGAGCTGGCTCTGCGGCTCGGAGCGTCTACTTTTCTTTCGGGCCAACTTCTTGGACTTTCTTGGCAACATGTTTAAAAGTCTTTTGGAAGCGCCAGCCCAACGTTCAGTTCACTGCGAGCGCTTATAGCGTCTGGTGCGTTGTGACAGAAGAACGAGTGCCGACCCGAAAAAGTCATCAGCCAAACCACCACAGACCACACCAAACAAACACAACCAACTAAAGGATATAATCCCAGCGAATAAAGCGAACTCGTATTTACATTCAGTGCAAAAGTTGTGCGTGCAATGAGGCGTGACTCGAATGTGGCACGATTTTAATTAAATCGCCAGTTATTGAAAGAATTAAAACAAAATACAAAGTACGCATCACAGTTGAATTGAATTTCGCTGAACGGGAAACCCACAGACACGTCGTGTTGCACGGTTCAGATTCCGAATCAGGATCGCATCCAGACCCACTTTCGCATTCGCATTCGCATTCGTATCCATTTTCATATTCATATTCATATCCAGTGCGCGCTAAACTCCTGTCGGCTGCTCCCGCTGCACTGACTGCTGTCCTTGTCGTATTGTTTATGGATTTGTTGGTTTTTGGTTCCGCGTTCCCGAGCTTCCGAGTTTTCCTCTAACACGTAGCAGTGGCGTCAACAGGTAAGCCTTGCATTCAGCCCGGATTAACTTTGCTTAAACTGTTGAAACAACTACAGCATCAGCAGACTTCGGGGGCGGGGTGGGCGTGGCGTGGTGCGGTGCGGGTGCTCGGGATGCACCGCCCAAAGCTCCTGCTTTTGCATCCGCATCCGCATCCGCATCTGCATCGACGGCCAAGTGGCGACAAAGCGGATTGCCACGAAAATATTTACAAGTTTTAAATTGTTTATCCCAGCGAGGGTGTCCTGTGTGTGAGTGTTATAGTGTTATTCCGCATATTAATATTTATGGCATTGGCCAGCGCAGTTGGCTAAATGGATCGGATCGGATTGGATCGGGGCGGCCTATTGTGGGCTGGGAAGGGGAGCCCAGGAACGAGTGAAATTAAAACTTGTCTTTAATTAAGGAGTAGGACGGGCTATCAACGGCAGCCAAGCCCAGCCAAAGTGTGGTGCAGTGAGGCAGGGGAGGCAGGGGAGGGGACATTTAGAACGGGCGCATAAAAGAGTCAACGGCGGCAGCGGTAACAGCATCAGCCCAACAACACCAACAAGTGCTGAAGAAACAAGTACCACACACACACGGGGGATTGGCAGCCACACACGTGTAACTGGAAACAAGTTGAAATGCCTCAGCTACAGTTGGTCAGGCTTACACGAGGCAATGTACTTGGCCAAGAGCCGAGAACTTTTTCCCCAGTACCCGGAATCCCAGCCCACAGAGGGGGCACGGACGTGGCGGGGCGGAGCGATGTGATTTTAATGAACTACTAAAAACTCGGAATGCCAAACCCAAAACAAACATAAGCTAACTCGGAGCTGGCCTACGATTGCATTATGGCCATCACATGCAGCAGCAACATCAGCAACAGTTGAGAGCCCAGAAACGTGCAAAGCGGGCGAACAATGCCGCAATCTGTATAATATTTATGCAAGCATTAGCAGATTCCCATCCCCGATCTCAGTCCCCAGTCCCCAGTCCACAGTCCCAGTCCCCAGACCAAGTCCCCAATTCCCCCTCCCATTTCCACTCTCGGGCTTGCAGTATAAAGCAGCTGTCCAGTGGACTTGAGCCTGGTTAGCAGAGACTTAAGCTGACAGCCGCCACGGAGCACAACGCAGCACAGTTTGAGTTACTTTCCACCCAGCATTTCACCCGCTCAGCCGATGGGCGGAGCTGGGGCCACTGGCTGGCTGAGATTAGAGCAGTGCTGCAGTTGCATCTACAGTTGCCGTTGTTCTTATTGCGGTTTCTGTTACTGTTGCGGTTAAATAAATAAGGCAGCGTGACTCCACGGCTCAGCCAGAGTCTCAGCCTTCTGCTTTGGCTTTGGCTTTGGCTTTTTCTCCGGCTCTGGCTTAGTATTCGGCTTGGCAGCCAAGAGATTGCGTTGCAACAACAGCCATCGCCAGCTCTTCGGCTGTTGCTGATGCTGGTGCTGTGACTGGACCTGAAATTATAGATGAGTCCGTTCGCTGCTTTCCAGCCCACTTCCTTTTGGACCTGGCCCAATTAGGGAGCTGCGGCCTGCCCCCTGCAGAACCAGAATCTTTAAAGGGGGATCCAACTCGATGTCAAGTAATATTTCGGAGATGGGACCACCCTCGGGAATGGGCCAAGACCTGGGAGTCGCTGCCGTTGCATAAGCAGCTGATAAACTTGCACATAACAAACTCATGGCAAATGAGCACGCCATCGCCATTAAGAGCTGCTGCATTTTAATTAATCAAGTTAACAAACGGAGCGAGTGCAGCAGCTGTGGCGGCAGCAGCCTCATCTGTCAACAACAATGCGCGCCGCAAACTAATTACATGCAACTCGGCGGATAAGGGTAAGCCGAAAACCAAAATCCCAATTGAGGCGGCCGCACGTCGTCATTGTTCAATGTGGGGCCCGGCTTTGCATATGTGCGATTACCAAATTAGATTTCTGTCTAATTATGGCAGTTGCACTGCAGCAGCAGCAGTAGCAGCCAAACGAAGCCCGAAGAAATTGCAACTGAAATTAATAGCCAAGGCGGCAGAAGTTTGCGCAAACGGCGATAAACAAATGGATGCAGTAAAAACAAAACTTCAGAGCGAAGTCGGCCACAGTGTCCCATTCCAGCCCATCCGATGCCAAGTTGAGTGCCAGCCAAAGTTCTTCGGGAGCACTCGCCTCTGGAGCGGGCTGGGCTGTCCTGTTTCTGCTCGGAGGATGCAGCACTTAATAATAATTAAATAATTTTCGCCAATTATAGAGCCAGCACATAGCCATCTAAATGGGTTTGGCTTAGACTCTGCATCTGTATCTGCAGCCAGTGTCTTTATCTCTATCCTTCCCCTGCTCCTCCGTTCGAGAGTTTGTGTGTGTGCTGAACTAATAAATAAGATTGCTTTTAATTAAGAAAGAGAAAATTGTTGCCGCCAACGAAGTTGAGCAGCAAGAGTTCTTCCATTTGCCTTGCAGCCCAATGTTCAGAGTTAAAGCACGGCCCTCGCTCGCAGATTCAGATTCAGATTCAGTTCGGGAAACTCATTGAGATTGGGCTCTGTTAAGAAGCCACCTACAAAAGCTTAACAACAAAGCTAGAGTTTAGTAATAAAGGTTTTATGAAATTGCTATTTTCTCTTAAGCATGTATCCTGTCATATAAATACGAAAGAGTAATAAATTTGGACACATTTCATGAGCAAACAAACTCTTACATAGCCATAAGTACTGAATTTAAAAATTGTCCTTTAAAAACCTATAAAGCAGCTACTCTCAACGATATCACTTACAAATTTTCTGTAATTATCGTTTTTGTTTTGTCAATATTGGTAAGCACCTGACCACAAGCTTGGCATCATTAATTACTCCGCCTAACTGCCTAAGTTGGCTTTTAAGAAATAATTTATTTGGCTACGTTTTAAAGGATGGAAACATGCTAAATATTTGAAGCTATTTTAAAGATGTACTCTTTGGAATCTACGGGTATTTGGGACAAATACTTTCCGTTATTTGTTGGTCTCTATCGCTCTCTTAATTATCACCCCTACATTTAAGGCTTTCCTAATAATTGTTTTATAATTTAAAAAAGTTTAATAGCCCATTAGGATGACTATAAAAAATGTGTGCGATTTTTATTTGAAGGCATCAATCAAATCAAAATGAGAATGATAAGCAGTTATCCGTGTTCCCCGATAATTTAAGATTAGCATTGGACCGACATTTTTCATTTACTTTTCACTGGTTCATCGAGGTGACTGGCTGTGGTGGCCCTTTGCCTGCCTTTGCTGTTCATTGCAGAGTAATATAGCTGGAACAGAGCCCGAATCTGAAACATTGCCACCCTGCTGTCGGTCGCAAGACTTTTGAGACCAGCACACAGGTTAATTTGAAAGCATTTGAAAGTTTTGACGTGGGCTGCCGTGTATTTGGGCTTGGCTTCAGTTCGGCGGGGGTGAAGCCAAAGCCCGGCGCTGACTCCGGAGTAGCAATCTGCAACTTCCAGCTGCAGTGGCATCAACGTCACCGCCTGACGCTGACTTGTGGCCCTAACACACACATTCTGAGCTGTGCGGCACACGTCATGGGAACTTCAAGTGAGCCAGCAAAGTTGGGAAATCATTTTACTTTGTTCAGGGTAAACTTATTAATAAACATTTTTCGCATTTGCCCTGGCAGCTCCTCGGTTGCCCTGCGAAATTTGTAATTCAATTTATATATTGGATTGGTCGAAGACACAGCAGCAGCCTCAGTTCATCGCGTGCATTGCCAAGTTTTCTTCTGGCCAGAATGGGAAGTGGAGTCGGGGCCCAGACACGAATGCTGTGTGGACCCGCCTTTGTTTGCTGTCCAATAATATTTTATTTGCCTAGTAGTACAACCGGAGTCTCGAATAATTCATGCGCATCTGTGTTAATATTATGCCGCTCTCCGTTGTCCGACAGCTCAACCCTTTTTCGGCACTGGAACGGCCGGATGACTTTGAACTTTTGACACATTTGGCAGTCGGCTGTCATAGTTTTCAAGGGGGTAATAGGTCACTGGGGAATTTATGCTTGGTTAGAGCGGTGTCCCGACAAGCCGGGTCCTTCCTTGTCCTTTTCGTCCGGGAAACACGAGCTCTTCAGCTACATAACTCCTTTATGCCCCAAATTATGAGACTTGACCCTTGGCCACGTCCGACAGTTGAACTGACGGACAGATATTTTGTAATCTCTGACAGAAACGTTGGCGGTTGGGGCGACCTTCAGCGGGAGTTGTTTGTGCTGAGCGAGTTATTATATCTAATTAAGCGGCTTATTCAACTGACGCACTCGTCACAAACTTATCGCCACAAGCCGCATTTCATCGCGTCAACACAGCATCATCAATGCGCCATCGAACGCACAATTGATGGTCTGTGTGCCTCAATTTATGTCGCTCACATTAGAGGAAAAAGCATAGCCACAGCATATTTTTTCCATTGCGGCATTTGTCCATCGCCCTACAATAATATATTAATAATAACAATGCGCATCATGCGTAGTGAATTTGTACAGCGTTTTTGCCATTTTATCAGGGTTTGTGCAATCACTTTCACAAAATACAAATTGAATTGCCATCGCAAAAAGCGAGCCACAATTAAAAAAATAAAGGAAAATACAATTAATAATTGTGAAATTATTATTCGCTCTTGTGCAACCGACTTTAAAGCATTAATTGAGAATGTTATTTGCAACGATGCGCGCCGGAGATAGCACTCAGCTCATCCGGCATGATTAATTTCTTGACCCTTTGAGCGATCGTCCTGCCCACCACGCCCGACCCTCCAACCCCCCGACCCCCCGACCGCACCACCGCATTCATGAGCTGGTCAATCAGCACTTAAGAGCTCTCCCAAGTGGATGCTAACAGTATGCTGCTGCCGCCACTGTCCATAATCCATTAGAAAAAGTAGCAAATTATGATTTATTGCACTTTGCGCGAAGAATGGAAAAATTCATGAAAGCCACAAAGTGTGCGAGTGCTGGAAAGTATGCTCCGCTGAAACGAAACCAGGACCCCGGTCCACTGACAGCGGGGGGGGGGGGCGTGGCGGTTCAAGAAGGCAAAAACCCCAAAGTAGCGTACCAAAATGTAAAACTCTTGGAACAAGGGTGCTCGGCCACTTTGGGCCACTCCGAACTGCTCCCCGTTTGTGGGGGCCACCTCCGCCCAAAGGTCTTCCCATTACCGCGGCCACAAAACTTTTCGTCTCGGGGTATTAGGTATATGCCTCGATGATGCATTGATGTTGTCGCTGCAATCGAGTGCGCGGAGCAGCAATTATTGCTCTATTTATGGCAGCCGAAAGAAACACAGGTCTAAGGTCGTCATCCCAATTACACGCTTGGGCAACGTGCGTGTTTTCCACTCGGCATTCGCCCCGGGGCTTGTGTAATTCCACGCCCAATAAGCACACAATTGGGTCTTGGCTACTGAGTCGCCCCTCAATTTGGACACATTAGACCATCTATCAGATGGCCGGCTGCAACTGCAGCGGCATTAGCCAAGCGTCCGCTGGGCTCAGCTCGCAAAGCCAATGATGCGTCAGCTGAGCCCCGGCTTAGTTAATAACTTTGACCGAAATACCAGAGACCAATAACCGAAAAGTAAGTGTCATTAGCATATACTTAGCACGAGAACCAGTTTTTCCCGCTGCGCTCTTTCCTCGCTCTAGCGGCTAGAATTCGTGCGGGGCTTCACAAAAGAAATGGAAAGAAAAGAGAGCAGTCGGCTGGAAATGGGTCAGAAAGTTTCCCACTGATTGCGTTTTGTCTCAATTAACACATCCGAGCAGATCGGCGATATTCGCACATGCAATCATAGATTTTTACAGCCGTGAGCCGGGATTTATCGGTTTGTTACGGCTGCTCCGAAGCTGTCAAGAATGCAGCTCGAAACGGGCACAAATTGAATGGCAGAGAAACGCTCGGACGGAAACCGAAAGAGTGGAAGTCGTGGCGGCGGTAGGCGAAAGGCGCATAATAAACCATAATGACAAAATTACTATATTTAGTATGCTAAAAATCGGTCAAAGTGTCAGTAGGTTGTCCACAGCCGCCTTCATTAGCGGCGCACAGAAACCGATGACGGTTTTGCTCTCACTTTGGCCAAACGCCTGCGCTGCCGAACATGATATTGCATTTTTTGGCATTAACTTCTTTTCACCTGGCGATGAGTCTGCGCCCCAGGCTCCCCAGATCTCCGGCCGAAAGCGTCTAGCCCACATGTATGCCGCTACCGTCTTCGTGCGTGACCATAGTACGAATTCCCGCCTGCCCACCGGAATCCACCCGAGATCGTTTTCTAGCCGGGCAACTTTCATTTTTGCCGCTGTAGAATATCACTCCACAATGGACACAATAAAAGGCGTATCGAACACATCAATAGGTTATTGGCATATTGTGTGCCCCGTCTGGCCGCTCTGCAGCCTTTGTTTGCTTCCCCATTCATCAGCACGCAACTCGATTGTTTGGGCTCTTCCATCTTCAAGAGGATTTGTCGTTGGCCGTCGCTTGTAGTGTATATTTTGACGCGCTTTGAGAGAGTGTGCTCTCGAGGGCCTAAGTGCGGCAATTAGCAACGGCTTAGGGGACCGCAAACAAGTCCGTTCGGTTCCGTTCAGATCCGATCCACCTGTGCCCCTTCCCAAGCCAAGAACGAGAACCCAAGTGCACAAGGCTTTGGCGGGGGCGGTGGAGACCCAGTGACTCGAGGGGAAATCGAGAACAACCCATCTGCGCCACTTCTGCAGATTCACGAAAGATATGCCGGCACAAATACAGATACGGATTCAGATTCAGACTCAGGTTCAGATTCAGATGCAGAGAGTGGAGCGGCCGATTGGAGATGATTTTCGGTAACGTTATAAAACTGAAAGCTACGCATTCAGGTGACCTACATTCACAGCTTGCCAGCTGCGGTGGCTGGTCGTTTCGCTTTATTCTCAGCCATGCTTATTGCTTATTGGGCTCTCTTGGCCAACGGAAAGTTCTGTAGGCCAGGAACGAGTGTGGCGCACATTTCGGTCTCCAAGAGCGAACCTTTCGCTTCTGTTTTGTTGTGTTCTTCTCCCAACTTTGGCATGAAATCAATCTCTCGACCAGCAATTCAATTTTGTGAAATTTCTGGTCACTTTTTTCGTGCGGTTATTTCGTTGTCGATTGTACTCGAGCGGAATTCATAATACAATAATTGACGTTTTAGCCAGAAGTCCGGAGGAAATTGGAATTTCGTACTCGAATCCGTCTAATATACTCATGATGAGGGATTATCGTTTTGGTTAGGTGTTTTTGATCAGCCTGACAATGTTTTTTTTACCCAGACTCAAGCAAGCTAAGCGCATAGATAGGGTATACAAAACTCGGGCTGCTCAATTCAAATTCCTTTTCGTTTTTCATTGTTAATGGAATTACTTTTGGCTGTTTTTTCATTGAACTTCAATTAGCGCCATCTCATTATTATTGTCACATTTCCGCAGACACCTCCGCTAACAATTCTTTTTGGACTTTTCGGATTCGTCTTTTAAAATGTTTGGGAAAGTGAAGCAATTAAAAATTAATTGCCTTCGCAAGGCAACACCGAAAACATTGAGTGGCTCGTGCGAATAAAATTGATAAATATGTTTAGCAGCCGCAAAGCCCACTTTGTCACACTGAATTACTTATTTTTACCTTCTTCAGTTATTAATTATGTCTATTCCTCTGTGCGATTCGCAGGTGAATTTACTTGCTGTCTGAAATGAATGCGTTGGTGATGAACTGGATTCATTAGGTGAGTTACAAAGACAACTGATTTAGAATAAAAGTAACCTTAAGATCAAATCAGACTTAAATCAAAAATTAATTTTAAAATCGTAAATTGTGTTATTTACCCTTTTATAAGACTTGTTACAGAAGGCTTTTCATTTCAAATAAATAAATCTATTTTAAACTCGTTTTTTAAGGAACATAAAATATCTAAATATCAACATGTAAAAGTATAATGAAAAGATAAAATATTTACCGACACTAAAAGGTTTTAAAAGTTTGGCTTGAAAAGTCGAGCAATAATCTTCTGAGCAAATATATTTATAACATATAGGGTTTCCTATAGTTTAAAAAACTAATAGTTCAAACCAAAATTTTGTTTTCCGAATTTCCTGCCTATTAAACTTTATATCGATTGTTCACATAAGAGATTTTGGCTTTCCCTACGGACACTTTATTTATTCGTTTTCTTATCTCATATTATTTACTGCTTTTGTTGCATTTATAGTTTTTCTCGTCCCGGAGAAGCAAAGCAATAGGGTGGGGAATTGCCTGAGCCCCTATTGGGAATTTTAATGTGTTTGTCTTGTTTTCACTATCAATACTCTTCTGCAACTCAATTGCAGTATATAAAGAGCGATTGAAATCCATGCCCCAGCGAATATGCAGGTTTGGCATTCAAAAAGTGCATTTTATTGCTAATTCCAGTTGCCAAAAGTTTGAGTATTTTATTAAAAAGCAACGACCCCCAACTTTGCCAACCAAATTATTTCGAATGTCAGCGACAAAACAGCGGGCTGCCAGCTTACACTCACATCAAATGCAAATAAACGAACTACACACAGGCACACGTCCAAACAATACGGCTGCAACAACAACCATCGGGACGAGCTGCCAAATGAAATGTTAGGGAAAATCAAACAATTTTGCTCATTGAGCTTTTAAGCCGCTAGGGCCGAAGTGGGGCGCCGGGGTCGACGAGCACATGTCATTTTTCAGATACTTTGATGTGCGACGGCCAAAATAAACAGAATTTGGGGCCGCCATAGCACTGCATATTCCTGGCCAAGCCCCGCACCGACCTGCACTCCATACAATCCTCTGCTTGTCGGTATATGTATAAATACCGCCAGTTGTTGCCCATCAATGCGATTGAGCCGCACGGAATTTACAGGGGCTCCAATACAATATCTGACGGACGGGACGCAAGGCTCCTTCGTTCGTGTGGAAGAACAAAGTGACTGAAAAATGGGCAGGGGAGGGTCCTAGGAAGGGGCATGTAATAAATAAATAAATATTTGAATGTCACTACTCAATGTCCAACTCTCAAGCTTTAAACCTAAATGGTTTGAATTTAATTTGTGCTAGATCGAACGCTCTGTTCGCTTTTAATATTCTAATAAACAAAAGAGCTCACAGTGCCTCCTCTCCGATAAAATATATCCCCCATCTATTTTACCCGTCATTCAATATTGCATTTTATTGCAGCTACATCAAAGAATGTTCGCCCATCAACCAATCGCTAAAAGTTCTGCGGCAGTAATATTTCGGTGCAATTTGTTGTGTTTTTCGGGAAAACTAAATCGACGGGCTCTCGCCGTTTGCGGTGAGTTCTTCCGCCGAAAAGTTTCCCGCTGCAGATTGAAAATATTGAAGCGAATTGATGGCTTTCGCTGCTTGGACAATATGTGGGTTTAACAAAGAACAAAACCCGCCCGGAATTGGTTGGGAACAAAAGTTGAGTATTTACCGCGCATCCGAGCTAATGAAGCTATTAGTGCTGGCCTCGATGTTGGTCAGCACGTCACTTCGAACTCCCACTAGTTCTGGGAGCCCCTGGCCCTTTTATTGGGCACGGGAAATGGCCATTTTCCACAGCCAAATACAACGAACAAACGTTTTTTACTTGATTTGGTCGGGGCCAGCCGGCCAGAAATAACAAAAGCTGAAAGTGAGTGGAACTGTGGGTGGAAAGCGGGTCGCAAAGTTTATGCCAGTTGGTTGATTTCTGTAGCATTTCCGTTTTGTTTCATTTTAATTCTCGAACTGCTCTTTGACCATATTTGATGGCAAGCACACAAACACAAACACAAGCAGACACACACAGGCAGAAAGGGGGCAGAAGGGGCAGAAGGGTATAAAATGAAATAAAATGTTTGACTATTGCGGAAGTGCGCCATAAGTTCATTTCTTGTGCGCCATTTTGCTTACATATTTTTCGACTGTGCAGCACGCTTTCGGGCGCCGGCCATGTCGATTGCTTTTAGTTTCGGCCGGGTTGGTGTGTGTGGCTTATTGGCCTTTATGCCCCATAATGTAACGGAAATTGTCCAAGTTTTTAAAGGCATTAATGTTTAATTCAAACGCCGCCCGCCCGAACTGTTGCTCCCCGACCCCGCTAAATGTTCAATTTACTGCTCCCCAGCTCGTCTTGCCGCCCTGCCCCTTGCAACCTTAGCAGCTGCTGGCCGCCATTAATATTTTCCAACTATTTGCATAAATTAATGCGCGCACACAAAATGTTGCCAAAATATTGCTCTCTGCTCTCTGCTTTTCCTCCGGCAACTTATGGACCAGCTCCTCGTCCTGCGTCCTGTGTCCTGCGTCCTGCGTCCTGGATGCGATGTTCATGAGAGTGGGCGTGGATCTGGGCGTGGCCGGGGTAGGCGGCTTGTGGGTCAGCTCAGCTCCGCTCCTGGATGCGAGCGAGTTTTAATAGCGATTTAAAGCGCCTTTGTTTGAATGCGAGTTAAGCATGCGCCAAAGTTTCGCATATGAATGCGAAATGAAATTGCAGTTCGGCCTGCGGCGCGTATAACTCCGCCGAAAGTTTGTCTATTCCGACGTAAATTGGGGTTGGACCCTTGAAGCTGTGTTTTAGCATATAGGTAGGAATACATGTATTTCCGAACAGCTGCAGATGTTAGTCGACGCCGCCCCAATTCATAATATGTGATGGCGTTAGACTGGAGCTGGAGCTGGAGCTTCTGGGAGCTCATTACCATATGAGATTGCCTAATCAGCTTCCACTGAGCAGCCTTTAATTAGAGTCCTAGTCCTCTAGTCCAACTGAACGAGTGCAGTGCCCGCTAACCCCTTGGATCGCTGCTCAGCCAGAGTGCTTTAACTCCGCGCCCAGAACAGCCCATTCTCATCCGCGCCCCCGGCCCCACAGGCTGCAGGCGGGTGAGCGGCCTGGTAATTGAGTTTTTAGGAGCTGTTAGCGGTCCCACACCAGCTCTTTGCGCCACTTAACGGCAAAGATGCGCAGCTACATGCAGCAGGCCCCGGAGGGGCGCATTGTTGTGCAAATTAACTATGTACCTGCCCACGAACACGAACACGGGCGCAGGCACATGCACACGGAATCCCCGAAAATCACGAACGCTGGGGCCCAAAATGCAAGTTAAAGTTCCTGGGCACAGAGAGCAGCAGCCAAATCAAATTTGCACGAAAAACCAAAGGTAAACTTTGAGCGCTACTGGCGGACAGCCTTCCACACCCACACCCACACTCACACCCACATGCAGTTGGGGCTAACACACATACGCAAATTCGCACGTCGCTTATTTGGTAATTTGCGTGAGTGCGAAAATGCGTTGCGTGTTTGCCTAACATGCAGCCGTCCATGCACCTGCTGCTGCAAAGTTCATAAACTTGTACGCACCTGAGCCCACAAAGATAGGCACACACACTGCGATAGGGCCCTAATTGAGTTGGTCGGAGATTTCGGGCGGAAATATTTAAGCCCTGTGCGGTCAGAATGCAAGTTTTGGCAGCTTGCTGTCTGTGGCACAATAAATTCGCATAATAAATGGGCCGGCGTTTAACTGTGTCAACAGCAGTCAGCCCGGCTCGCATCTCAAGAAGAGTGAGCGAGGCCAACTTTGACGAGCCCAGCACCTGCACCTGCTGCCCCAGCAGCACATAAAATGTTAAACAGCAGCCTAATGTCCGAAAGGATGCACGGGAGTGGCCCAAATGCACCGCGGCCGAGGGGGAGGTGCGGCTGAATCCGAATCTGCCCCTGCTCCTGCGGCTGCTGCTCCTGCTGTTGACGTTGTCATTGTGGCACGGCGACGGCGGGGAATGCGGAAATTATGCAAAACAGGTAAAGCTGCTTTGGCGAAACTGAACCTCAACTGCAGGCACTAAATTATGTGCTTTGGAGCAAAGCGCTCGGCTGGAAGGCAACGCCATTGGAGGTCTGCTGCCGGGGCCGACAGGATACTTTAATGTCCCTATTCACAAGAAGTCAGCCTTCAATTCCAAATCTCCGTCATGGCGGACTGAGCCCCTTGCAGCTCGCCACTCCTGAGAGCCAAAAATGTATGGCAAATTGCAATTATTAATTATACAAAGTGGTCGAAGGGCGCAACGTTGTCATTCATTTTCGTAGAATAGCAAGGTTAAATAGCACTCACCAAATCGATATAGTTATTGGGCCACAACTAAAATACATTAGGAAGTTTTCTCTCTGAAATAGCTAGATAGAGTCAGCTAATCTATAAATTATACATATTACATGGCTGGTCGGAAGCGTTCCGTCTCCTTGTCTTTCACGAACTCAATACTCCACGAGAAGCTTCAATAAAAAGCACAACATAAAATATATCGAATGCAATAAAAGGCATCTTTTGGTGGGGGTGCTCCTCCTGCAGGCCAACTTATCACTCCTGGTATCGGTGCCCTGCCATGGTGTGCACATGGCGATATCACAAATCTTCATAACTGTCCACACATTTGCCTCGTTTCGTAGACCGTTTGCTATCTGTGCCAGAGTAAAGTGAGACGAAAAAGTTCCCCTGGGTACCAACACCGTGCTTCCTGGCTCCAACTGTTTCAGAGGCTGAGGCTGAGGCTGTGGCAGCAGTAGTTGGACACCAAACATAATCTTATCTGAGGCCCACGCGTTCAGCTGCTATTGCCAGGACCCAGTTCCAGATCCCAGGTCCGACTTGGCCAGCAGATTCACAAGAAAAATGTTCGCATGTTTGTAATCCCGGAGGAAGGTCCTTGGCATCG